TGAACCGCTTTTCTTACCATGACCGGATATAATGATATCATCGGTCCTGTCGCATGACGAACGGGACGAACTTGTAAACGGTGCCCGCGCGAACGTGGGTCTCATCGCTGACACCATTTGGACGCCTCTCGACCAGGACGACTCCTATCGCAAGCTGAATCGCACTTTATGGATACGGGTGAGTAGTGTCCCTCATTTTTTCCTCCGCTGTTTTGCTTTCCGGCGCCCCTCGCTAGCATCCTGACAGATCTCTGCCTTATCGGCGCGGGCTTTCCCGGAGGCCGATCCGATCGAACGACAAGAATAATATGCACGCGTCCTTTGCTTATCGCGCGACTCGCTCGCAAGATTCGGTCCGCTGATAAAAGCTTAACCTATGCAACTTCGTACTTGGAGCGGATGTTGGAGCCTCGGAGCCTAATGAAAGTTATTCGGCGTTTGGTTATTAAGAGAGAGAGTGTCGAGAATGATTGCCTACACCGCTGGTAATTATTTCTCCGTGGACTGTTTATTTCTATCAACCTTACCTGATGCTCGAATGCAACCCCATCACGATTCGTGCGACAAAGCTAATCGTCGCAATCTCCGCTCGCGATATGCATATACTTTTATCAAAATTTTGAGCTTTATTGTACGAGCGGAGAGTGCTTACTCGTTTTATGTATAGGAAAGCCATTACTACACCGTTTGTCAAAAATGCTTTTGTCGTTCGGTCATTAAGAAAGATTGTTTATGTCCATTGATAGTTCGAACAGTGCCAAGTATTCGTCGGGCAAAGGGGGACTATTCATTAACAATGTCGATATTAACAGCGATCGATTTCCTTATTGAAGAACAGTAAATTTTTATCAACATGCTAGGAAATATTGAAAATATCCATTCATATACACACACATCACGATAACATTTATATTTTATTATATTAACAATCATAACGTAATATTTGAGTATAAGCGTGAATTCTCGTTATTTTAAAGTATTTTATCCAAAAATATTAGTAAAGTATATATTCAAATGAAATATATATATATATAGGAACTGTTGCAATACTGATGTCTCTTTTGCTATTAAATTTTATATTGTTGAAGCTTTTGATTTCTCCCAATTCTATAAAAAAAATTCCATTCGTTATCAAAAAATAAGAGAAATTATTCAGCAATTTGAGAAATGTTTCTATTCTAAATAATTATTCCAATCATTTATTATTTAATAATAATTCGTTATTTCTTAAATATAATATTAAGAAATTTAATACGAATACAAATTTATTATATTAAAACTAATAGGCACTAGCTGTCTTTTTTAAAAAAAAAAAAAAACAAACAAACAAATAATTTAAACAAATAATACCAATAAATAAATACAATAATATAATAATAGTATTGTAATTGAATAATGAATTTTTCTATTTATTTATATTTTTTCATTGAATTTTTTTATATTTGTTTACCTTACGCGTGTCCTGTTATTATATAATCAAAAATAATGTAGTTACGATATATCAACGAATTATTATAATAATAAAATATAATAATACAACTGTTAAAATTAGTTAAATAGATAAATGTACAGAAAATACTTTAAACTTTAATATATAAATTATAATTTTTACAGTAAAATATATATTGAGAGCAACATATTTACGTTTAGAAAATAATACACCAGGAGAATTATTTTTCTAAATTGACAAATATCGTAAAACGTATTTTATGTATTTGCATGTAAGCTAGAGTGTGTATAAATTTAATTTGTTTTAAATTCATTTACTTACGAAAATTTCCATATAAATTCAGATAGATTCATCATCTATCGATTTCATCATAATATGAAAACGATCTAATATGATATATTTACTATTTATGCAAATTACATTTTATATAGATTTATATAAATTACATACATCTTATATAATATACGTTAATACAATAGTATACATAAATTTATATTTATTCGAAAGATTTGTATAGCACATTACACAAATCGATGGGCTAATGAATGTTAACGCCAATTGATATAAATTTATATTTAACCGTAAAACTGTGTAAAGTATATGAATAAAAGTAAATGTGAACATTAATAACTATTGATGGTTAGAAAATATATGAATACATGAATTTGAAAAATGTAAGAAAACTAACTCCCTGTTTAATAAATTAGACGAAAATAAATATAGTTCAGTAAATTTTATTATCACTATATTTTGATTACCTAAAAATTCTATTTATTTTCTTACATTAATTATAATTATTCACTCAAAGTTTTTTTGTTATCGTTTTCATATGAAAGGATAATAAATATTCATATATTATTCCTCCGTGCGAAGGAAAATTAATTACATTATAAATAATAAGCTAAAAGCATTACAAGAATATTAAAAATTAATAATTAATGTAACAACGAATTCTGAAATAATTATGTACTTCTCTCACTAAAACATATATACATATATATTTATATTTATTTATTTATTTATTTATTTATTTATTTATAAAACACAAACATAAGAATATTAATATAATTTTTTTAATTTCCAAAAATAATACTTAATAACTTATTTTTATTAAAACGTTGATTCGTATTATTAAAAATACTTGTATTATTGTAAAACTATGTTATTACATTATATGTATAAATTACTATTATAAATATTTATCCAATTAATTAAATTAAAATTAATAATAATTTTACTGATTATTATATTAAAATCCATGTGTTCTATGCTTTGACCTATCGTTATTTTATTAAAACTTTCTCTGAAAATAAATTTTATCATTTGAATCTTCAGCACATTAAATTTTGTAAAAATTAATTTTTAGAACAAAGACTAAATATTTAAAATTTTATATGAATTTATCCTCAATTTAAAGGGTAGTATTCTAATTATAAAATTATAATATATCAGCAGTACAAAGTTTTTGATTCGTTTAATTAATTTTCGTTTAATTTTAGAAATTCCAAGAATTTTAAGGTCATCTTTTTATAGGCAAAAAATTAATATTTTATTTTAGTTCAAATATTTGAGTATAAATTTCCAATTTTCATAATCTAATTTGTATTTTTTTTTGTTGTAATTCTGCTTTAGTAAATTTCTTGTCTACGTATACCAAAAATTGAATATATTAAATACGATGATTCTCTTATCAATATTATTATTTATAAAAAAAAAAGGTATAAAAATTACATTAATATGAAATTAATATTAAAATATGGATGTATAAATAATACTGACAATATTTTATTGTAAATTAAAGAAAATATATTCAATATTAAATTATGTAATACATACATAATATATGCAATATGATCACCTATCTAAGATTTTAATTCATAAAACGCTTAGATATTTAGTTATTGAAAGTTTAATTTCTGTTGCAATATGTATCCATGTAAAAAACATGAACAATTAAATAAATCACTTGCTATGAAAAATTAATACAAAATGATAAAAAAAATAATGACTTTTTAAATTTACTTTATAATACAAAAATTTTACTCAAACGATATTTACATTCATAGTTCTTACGTTAAATTTAAAAATTGATTATTTTTTAATTGATAACAAAAATTTAAATACATTACATTTACTCATTATATTTCGACACATTATATTTTATATAATAAAAATAGTTATATTACAATTATTTATTGCCTCGTCAACCATAATAAAAAATAGTTTTCGAATTATATATTTGCAAATAGGAATCTCTCAAGAATTATTCTAATATTTTTAATTATATTTAAGTTGTTTATTTAAGTTTTAAAAGAATGCTTTAATACATACCAATATTAATCAGTATATTAATAAAAAAAAAATTAATTAATAATATAATGTTAAAAAAAATCTTTTAGTTTAATATTAACTTTAATAGTAATAATAAGATTATAGTTATTTGTTTTATCATCTCATTGGTTAATATGAATGTTATTATTTAATGGATTTGAATTTTACAGATAGCCAAAATAGAAATGATACTTTTCAAAATTCGAAAGCAAATACCTCTGACATATATATATATATATTTATTTATTTATTAAATAATTATCGCTCATTGAAGTGTTAATAATGTTTAAATGAAATTGAGAAAAGAGGTGAATTTGTATGGAAACAATATCGTTAAATGATACTTATATAAACAATTGTTATTAATGTAAAATAATTTAATAATAGTAAATTATTTATATATTGCATAAAGCAATAATTAATAGAATAGGATTTTTTAAACATAAAGTTAAGAAAACAATAAAAACAATAAAAATAAAATTATATAATATTTCTTAATGTAAATAATTTATGAATAGACTTGTTTTTATTAAATTTATTAAATTATAATAAATGTACTGAAATTTTCAATATTACTAAAATATAGTAATAAGTAAGATATAACATTTTTTCAATACACAATACGAATAATCGATTCGGAGGTTGTATCGTAATATATTTATAGGTATACTTATTTATTTACGATTAATAGTTGTAATTTAATATTTCGACTCTTTATTAATCAATAATTATAATGAATATACGCATTTATTATAAATTTTATGCATTATTTAAAATCGTGAGTTTACAAGAATTCGAGTTGGTCTTTGTATAGTATTATCTGTTGATATTAAAAGTAGCTATAAAATTTCTTATAAATTAATTTTCATACACGAATTTTCTTATTGAAAGAAATAAAATTTTTTAATGCATGTGCGCTACTAGTTTTTAACTCGATAAATCAATGTGTAGAAATATATATATTACGTGAGATATGCTATTTCTTAAATTATAAATGAAAATTTGTAATACGTAGTGTTAAACTATGTATTCCAATTAATTTAAACTAATAAAAGTAAATACGATATATATATATATATATATATATAATATAATTTATAATAATAAACAATCATTTATTATCTCACTTCCAATGTTACATGTGCGAATTACTAGGGCTGGAACAATTAAAATGAAATATCTTATTTTATATTTTAATGTAGGCATTAGTTTCAATGGAACTAATTACTGAAAATTTTTTATTAATCGACGCAATTGATCAATTTTAAACAATTGATGATAACCGACAAAAAGTTGAAATACATTAAAATGTAATGCAAGATGAAATACTTTAATGATGCGAAATGAAATCCAGTAGCATATAATAGGGATGTAATGATATATTCTAGAATATTAAA